GTTAATTAAAAAAATTAATCAGAGGCAAAGCCATAATGCGCACAAACATCTTTCTAGAAAAAGAGAGGTTCCAAGATAAGCTGACACCTTGCCTTTTCTACTATATCTTTAAAAATGTTGTATATACCCCTGATTATTTTTGAATAAAAGGATATATATATATATATACACATAGTTCTTATTTTCTCACAGAACCTCATCAAATTCTTGGAACACAATTGAAATATCCTTACCTAAATATGTATGTTGAGGGAGTAAAAGGACAAGCTGGAGGAAAACTATTTAAAAACATTAGATTATTGAGTGTTACCTGTAGTAAAACCAAATGGATTCACTGCTCTAGATTATGATGCTTGACAGCTGTTCCTTTCAGCAATTTTGTTTGATAATAGGAGACTAGTCTCTCAAGAGCTGTCATTCTAAGTTTCTTGTTAAACAGCAATGCCATTCCATCATATCATGACACCATATACCCCAAACGTCATCCACTGGAGCCAAAAGAAGAAATGAACTCTACAAGAACAATAGTCCTGATCTTCTGAAGTCCATCAATCCTTCATTAGATAATTGATTCATCAAGAGGTAGAAGAACTTTTGAAGAACTGCAAAACAGCAACAGATAAGGTATTGTTTAGAATTGGATTTTATGTTTAAGAGCCCATTTTAGCTTCTCCCCTAGTGTAATTTGTTGTGCTGATTCTTCATATTTGTGATGTAATGGGGGTAGACTTACGGCCTTGTTGAAGCAAATCTACAATGGGATCTGCTGCTTTTACACCCTCAATGCCATGCCTGGGTTGTGTGGGCCAAGTATATGGTTGACTACTCCTTACATAGCTACTGTATAAGTACAGCCTTGCTTGTTGGAATCTAATTGAGCAGTATAAAAAACAGACTCATATATGCTACAGTGGGAGCAGGTTTATTAATCTGTTCCATGCAAAGATAGCTAGTCTATCATTTTCTCACTTTTTAACCAGTGACATTTTGCAGAATTTTGTTATTCCAGTTCTTATGGTGTTTCATTCTTTCCCCTTGCTCCTCTATCTTGCATTTTAGTTGATACTGTACTAATGCATAGACAAAGATAGGAATCTCATTTTTGCCTTGCCAGATAGTCAAGTGACTTATGAGGCTAGACTTTCAAGCCAAAATAAATGTCATTTATAATAGCTTGTGTTGTTTGGTTATGAACAGAGATTACAAATCTTATTTTGCTTTTTACAGGCTACCAGAGCAGAGCTTGTGGCACATGGTTACCACATCAAATCTGAAGAGTAGATGAATTGCCACCTTGAGAAAGAGCTCAACTAACATGAAAGAAAACCAGAATCAACCAAACATTAAACAGTTCAATAAAGCATGATATGAAATCTCAGCATTGTGAGCCTTTCTTTTTAAACTCTGACAGATAATTTGCAGTCAGATTATTTTTTAGACTGAACTGAAGTTGCAGAGTCAGCGATAGTATGCAGCCATAAAAGTCTTGATCATGGCTGCACTATACTTGACATAGGAGACTATTAGGAATATGGAGCCATATTCCTTTTGAACCAGCTTTGGTGAGAAAGGGGAGGGAAATAGTACAGCTGTAGCAAGAACTTCCAAAGACTCCATCCATTATTGTCAGGTCTGATGGTTGCAGTTCTCTGAGTTTAAATCCCTTGAATCTGAAATTGCAGTCCGATTGTAAAAATACCTGATATGGTCAGTGAGTGATGTGGTAAGTTGCACAATCTCTCCAAAGAAATAGTCTTCAGTCTTGTTTTGATTCGACCTCATATAATCCTTTTATAAGACCTTCCCAACAAAAGAACACAGGAGATATGTCAAGACATCTTTCAAATAATTATGATCAGTTTACCGGTAACACTTGCATTTTCAAGAGCATTTTGAAATCAACTAATATTCAGGCCTCCTAAATTTCTTTTTACTCGTTGGGAAGAACATAAAACCAGTACTGCTTGTTTGCATAATTCTGGATATACCTACTATATGTGGGGGTTCCCGTTGTTAATATTAATGAAATATATTAAGGATGCTTCTTCTGGAACAGCTGTTGTCTGTTTAATGCTGATAGCTTTAGAATTTTAGCATCAGAAAAACTAATTTTGATGTTATTAGCTAAATATGTATTCATTCTTTGTGGTCTGATTCCCCCCCCCCCCCCCGCCAAAACGCAGGTAGATTTTTAATTTAATTTTGTATTTTAAAATGATGACTGATTAAATAATTTCATTAAAGTAGTTATTTACTATTGAATTTTAATATTTGCCCAACATGCATTTACAATGATCCCATCACATATTCTTAGCTGATTTCCAGGTATAAAGTCTATGTGAGTAAACACTTTCTCATATACATACTGTCTCATGATTTCTTAAATATATTTCTGTAATACATATATATGCCCATAGTTTGCGTCTTGATAGTCATTTGTTGCTGGTGAACAATAAAATCTGGGGGAACGTAAAGGGGTACACTTGCTTGCTGGCAGCCTCACGTTACTCTTACTCCTAATTGAACATTCACAAAATAGAGTGCTATATTTGGCTTGTAGGCTTCAGAAACAATCCATACAAGTTATAAAATGGATTACTTCACAGAAAACTGGAGATTATTCTCTCATCATTTGGATAGGAAAGTCATTCATTTTCATTAACCATTGGTTGAATACTGAGAAAATAGATTCCCTGATGAAACCATCTAGAATAACTAACTTTTAAAAGTAATATATAGCCAGACATTCTAAGACCACAAGATCACTATGTATGTAAAATATATACATTTATAGTAATTAGGCAATGTTCCGTTTATATCAACTATAACATCTGACACCACTCATTTAAAAAATTCATCAGTTATATTGTGTATGTCTATAGTTCTATTATATCTACCCTTTCAGTGGTTTCCCACTCACTAAATATGAGAGCAAAGAAAGTCAGAATTTTTGGCTGAGCATTGGAGTATATACTACCTTAAATAAACAAAGAATATTTTCCTAGAAAAATTCAGGAATCAAATATCTCTTGAACCATTCTTAGTGATCCAGGAGTTGTATTCTGCATTGGGTTCTGAAAAAGTAATTTTTTGTGACAGCACAATCTTTTTGATACAGCTTTCAACTGAACATTCATACATTTATTTATGGCTCTGCAAAGCACAGAATGATTTAGCAAAGCATTCCTACACACACTGCTCTCTTTCCGGTGTGCTGTTATCCCTTAATCTCTGGTTTGCTAATTCATCTTGAACAGACAGAGTCAATTGTTCATTGATGTGAGATTGATTTCACAGCTACTTCTCACTGTTAAAATGTTTTCAAGAAATCTGTATGTAGTAAGTATCTATGACTGGCTTTGGTACAGCATAAAGATTTCTAGTTTCCTGATATATGGAAGGGATGAAATTTAAACATGTCAGTCACATGTTCTTTCTTATAGATGACTCATGTGGGGATCAGTAAATCACTGCTAATAAAGGCTTATTGAAATTGCTCTACCACTGCTACTAGTTCATACATATAACATACATTTTGCCTAGTAACATAATTCCTATTTCTCCCACTTCTAGGTCAGAACTCTGGAATCTCTACTTTGTATAGAAATTCTTACGGTGCACCTGCTGAAGATATCAAACACAACCAGGTAAGTGGTAAATCAACCTACTCCCTTTTGAAGTAAAAAAAATAAATTGATTAACATAGCTGCAATAATTTTAAAGAATCATAGCTGAAAAAGTAGTTTTGAAATCTTTTAGTTTCCTGGCAATATTATTCAATATCTCTTAATATATTTTTTCACATTTTTTGTGACATATATGTGTATAAGAGAAAAATGAGGCTAGGAAACTCCATTACGCAGGAAGTTGCTGATGGGATTCTGTTGAGAAGAATGTGAGAAAGTGAAAGATAGGTGACTATTCTATGTGACTGGACTAAACAGAAATGCCTGTTTCTGATTCAAACTTTCTGATCTGAAAACATTACTGCAAGCTGCAGCCAGGATATTTTTTAATGTTACAAAAATCTCAGTTTCCACTTTCTTATATTTCAAATTCCATAGGTTTGAATAGAATTTTTTTTAATTAGAAAACAAAATATTTTTCTTCTAAAAGAATTATTTCCTAAAAATCAATTATAAAACAAACAAGCAAATAAGCAAATTGATAAGCAGGGAACAAGAAACATGAACAAAAATGAATGGGTTAAGTTATCATATTTGCATTTTGATGCGATACCTTATGAACTCTTATTATAGCTTTAGGGTTATGTGATATACAAGTATGAAATAACTAGTAGCAATAATATGGATCAGGGCCTATAAAGGGATATGAGGTTGGGAAGTGTGCAAATGATCTGAAATGAGAAGACTTGCCCTGAAAGAGTCTAGATATCTCTTTAAATATAAATTTAAAGATTTAAATAATTTAAATAAATATATGTCTAAATATATGAATTTACTGATGGACAAGCATTCCTAATATTGTTCACATTCTGCAATCTGAGATCCTCCACCCACAAATCATGTGTAAAAGTTTAATGTGAAGTTTATTCTGCCCCTTTTTTGAGGAAAACCTCTGTTAAATGTGCTTGAAAATGCAAATGTAAAGCAATCTTTGGAGAAAGATCAAGCAGAAAAGTGACATTCATCCAGGAAGACTAAGATGTTTTCTGTAATAGCTGAAATGTTGGTAATGTTCACATTGTCTGTCTAATAAGTCCCACTGAAGTAGAACCTTGCTCTGCACTCTTAAGAGACATGGCAGTTTGTTTCCCATCATTATAGTTGTCTTCCCTAACAAGCCAAGACTTCTTATTCTGTTGACAGGTTTCAACACAGCCGGTCCCACAGGAGCCCACAAGAAAGGAATACGAACCATATCAGCCATTTCAAAATTCATCAAGAAACTATGATGAGTCCTTCTTTGAAGACCAAGTGCATCATCGCCCACCTGCCAGCGAGTACAATATGCACCTGGGACTCAAGTCCACTGGCAACTACGTTGATTTCTATTCTGCTGCTCGGCCCTATAGTGAACTCAATTATGAAACAAGCCACTATCCAGCCTCTCCAGATTCCTGGGTTTGAGATTTGGGCAAGAAAAAAAGAAGAGGTCCAGGAACTGTGCATGTGCATGCATATCACAAGACATTCTTTTCCTGCAAATTTAGTTTGTTAAAGCCTGTTCCATAGGAAGGCCCTAATACTCAGTCTGGAACAATTAAGGTATCTTTAGATGGCTAAAATAATGGGAAACTAAGCGCGGGAGTGTTATTAGGAAGAGTGGGATGTGTATCTATTTCTGTATCTATAGAATCCTATCTCTTAAATATAGATATAGAAATATACTGGGGGGAGGGCAGCTTTGCAGTTGACCTTGTAATGTAGAGTTTAAAACAAATAGTACTGTACACTGAATGTGGCTGAAGGAAGTTAGGGAAGTTACAACCATTGAAGTGAGTCCAGAGTTAAGCACAAGAAAATGAACAGTTTACAAACCTTATGGGGGACAGCTTCTCACCCTTTGTTTCCTCTCTTCATCCATTGTGAATTTAGGCTTCAAGTTGCATTTGGGATTTCCTCTGTACAGCAAGATGTTTCTTGCCTTTTGTTAATGCATTGTTGTAAAGTATTTGATGTACATTACAGATTTAAAAACCAGAGAGAAAGAGAGAGCAACGTGCATTGTGTATATTACATCAATGCCACAGTGTTTCTTCATCTATGGTTCTAAATATTGCTTCAATTACACAACTTTGAAATATGTATGAATTTCCAGGGGTAGGGGAGGGTTTTTTCTTTTTTTTCTTTTCCTTTTTTCTTTTCCCCAGTATGTTTTAACAGGAGAAAACAAAAACTGATATTTAGCAGTATTGTTCGTTCTGATATGTGAATTTGTTTGTGGCAACTAAAAAAAAAGGCATTCAGCAGTTTCTGACAATTAACATTCATCATTCCACACTCCTTGTCAACAAAGTGCTTTTTCACTGCCTAAAATTTTAGATGTAGATATTTGAAATAGATTTTTTTCATTTATACCAGTTTTCTTTATGATGATACAGTGTTGAAAGAAAATAAATTACAATTGATCTGTCATCCATATTTGCTAAGAATGTCTATTTCCAAGATCCTTAATCAAAATATACATTCTTGCTCATGTATGTACGTATGTGTGTGTCTGTCCTCAAAACGTGTGCATACTATTTTGTGTGTACATTTGTGCAACATAAAAGTGTGTTCCATCATGGTGTTGCCAGACATAATAGAATTATGTTTTGTGTATAAGAATCTGGTGGCCTTCAGATGAAATCCATTTTGCACGCTCATACACAAAAAGAAACAGGTGTATAGGCTTGTGTAGCAATACATTTGGGTGTTGTTTTTGTTGTGTTTCTGCTTTGGATGGAAGGCAGTTTTGTATACTTTTTTCTAATATTTCAAGCCAAAATGTTGAATGGGAGAGGGAGTTTTGCACTAGTAGAGTTGTTTCACCAATCTGATAAGGAAAAGATCTATGCTCTGCTGACACTTCTAGCAAGGAAAACGAAGTATAGTGGGAAGGAAAGCAGGAGGAGCTTTGTAACTTTCATTATTACAGCAACCCCCTAAGTGGAAAATGGAATCTGGGGCATTGCTTGAGATGCTCTGCTGGCTCCAAAGTAAACTAGTTCAGCAGAAGAATAAACAAAATTTCATAGAAAGGTCAGCACCGAGTGATGGGTTCTAATTTGTATCCTAATCTACCCATCCCCAAATAGTATAAAAATACCAAACATTTTGTCAGTTTTAAACACATATCTAAAGAAGCCTAGTCTACATGTGAGAAACATTGGTAAGTATAAGCAATCCTCTGTAACACTTCATAGGGTATTGTCATTCTCTTCCATCCTGTGGTGGTGCAACACATCACCTTCATGTGTGAAGGCCATCGGACACCGGCAATAGCTTAGATGCCTCATTGCCCATGAGAAATAATAATCATTTCTGGTTAGCCAAATCATTTCAGGCAGACCAGAAAATGGTAGGAGAATCAAGATGTTCAGCTATCCAACTGTTGTGAAGTTAGAGTAGAATTCAATTAACACATGCTGCAAAATTAATCTGAATTATTTTAATATCTGGTAATTGATGATCAAGTGATAGGACCTGCATGATGGAAGTCTTTTGAGGATGTCATTTATCTAGGCTTCAGGCTAAATTTTGTTTTAAGAAACAAAGACAGTTTTAGGTCTATGGTCATAGTTTCAGCTTTTCACCTTTAAGTGACTAAATATTTGTGAGTTGTTAACTCAGACCAGATACAACAGAAGCAAAGGCATATCCATAAACAAGATTTACTGGTCTTTTTTAAAAAAGTAACAAATTACTGAATTAAAATGTGTGTCTTAGCATATAGTGCATCCCTATGCTTGGTAGTAACAGCCATGTAGATATTTGTTTTAAATGAAGGGGTAGTTGCTGTACTTGTTGCCTGCTTAAAATCTTGTAAGAACTGGGCAGCAAATATTACATGTACAGCAAGTGATATGAGCTCCCTAAATCCACAGCACCCTCCATTTCTGCTAGGCCACTTCTCACCCTGAAGTCTCTCAGGAGAACTTCAGAAACTATCACATATGTAGCACAAGCAACTGTATTAGTTGAACTCTTGACTACTGATCCTTTTCCAGTCTGTTTTGTCTGTCCCATTACTAATATACTGTATAACCAAAAGTCACCAATGTGACAGGAATGATTTTGAAAACTTGACTGATTTTTTCCCCTCCTGTGAGAATATTGTCCCACAAACAATTTGAAAGATGAAATGTTTTTTCTGAATACTGGTTTGGGCTAGGGATGAGTAACCAAGACTGTGCCCTCAATTTGCAAAGGATGAGAACTAGGCCAAAATAGTTCATCCACTACCACTCTACAAGGTCATTGTAGAAGCCACCTGTGGTATCCCAGGATTATGTCCAATTGTTGATGCTCAAAAATCTTTGCCGTGAAATCTGCGAACAGTTGAGAAGGTAGTATTTTATTTATGCATTTCTCTGTCTTCTCCAGTGCTTATAAGGACAGGTGTGTGAGGTAGATTGGAATAAGAGAGTAAATGACTGGTCATAGGTCACCCCAGTGAGTTTCCATCATTAAGAATGGATAAGATGTTAGAAGCAGATCCAAACTCAATCTTCCCAGTCTTAATCCCACAATTTAGCTATTCCACTATATTGTGTCTCTATTTGAAAGGATATAATAATTGAAGGAGAAGGCTTGATAAGGCTTTTCCCTATAACTAAAGGCTTGGTGTAGGGCCAGAGGTTCAAAGATAGGAATTATCATCATCAAGCTTAATGAAAAACCAAAAAAATATTAAGATCTAAGTACAAAGTGAGCTAGCTGCAAGTGAAGACGGAAAAAAAATCTGATAAGGGTGTATGACAAACCATATACAGTGCATCATTAAACAAATTGATAACAAAAAGTAATGGCTAAATCATGAATAACACTAAACCAGCAGGTCTTTTAGGCATGGTTTGTTGAATTGTTTTTGATGCTGCAGGGCTCACCATGTGTTTGTGTGATGTTGTGGGGGGATTTCCTATGTATGGGTCCTTTTTGTTGGGTTTTATGTGTGAGAGATTCTTTAATAGTTTAGAAGTCTTGTGCATTTTTATCAGTTTGTTTCGCTTTTGTGGAGTATTTTTATGTAGAGTGTATGTTTGGGGGATTTTTGTGGTGTGATTTTGTCTGTGTGGTATGTGTGAGCATTTATGGATATGTATTTGAAAGGTGTTCTTGCCTTGCCCTTTTATTCATTGGACAGATAAAGTAGAAGCAGCAATTTACAAATAAGCCAGAATTCTGGGCTCAGACATCACAATAAGCCTTGATTAAAATGAACCATGGTACTTCACATTGTGCTTAGTTACCAAATAAGCCATGGGGTGTTGCTGAGGGTGAGTTCAAATGTTCAAATAATTTAAAAATAAGCAAAACAAATTCTAGCTAAGCTTATTGTTATGGGCAAATACTAATTTCCAATACATGTATGAGTTGGGATTACTCAAGAGAAAATTGTAAAGTATGTAAAAGGTAAGTTTTCCAAAAGGCATAAATCAGACTAGCACTTGAACCACTAACATTTGAAGTAGATTCGTAGATTTTTCTGTCTAAACATTTTAAAAACTTTATTGCATTTGATTTCCCATGCCACCTTATTTTTAACCTGCAGTAGCAAATATATGTACAGAAGGACTTTCAGAGGGGAATTTTAGGATTCCAATGAACTGCCAAAACCATGTTCTAGGTGGCAAAGCCAGTCCTTCCCTCCTACCCATCACCTAGCCAATTTTGGTTTTGCTTTGTGCTCTTTTTTTTCAAAAGGAAGAAATATTACTAAACACCTTCATTTTCTTCAGTCAAGTAGTAGCTCCTAAAAAAGAGGGATTTAAAAATGTATAAAATGTATTTGCTGTACTGTAAAAATGTTCGGTTTTTAAAGCAAACCATATTAGACTCTTGATCACTTGTGTAGATCTCAATATAAAAATTCATTGTTTTACTAAGATGCTATTTATGATCGAAAAGAAATGGCTTCACTATTATAATACTATCAAAACTGCACTATCAGAAGCAATATTAAGTTTAAAAAGTGGACATTTCAAGAATAAAATATTACTTAAACCATATTAACATTGAAACTATGTTTTGGTGATGTACAAATTCCCAAAAGTTAAATAAATGTTGCCAGGTAAAATGGCAAAAAGGATTAAAAATAATACAATAAGAATCAACAGAAAACACTGTTTCAATGTACGTGTTTCTAGCATGAACTGAGATTTTCTATCAATAAATCCCGCTGTACTGTGGAGAACAACTCTTCATAGCAATAGCACTTAGACTTATATACAGTCCCATAATGCTTTGTAACACTCTCTGGGCAGTTTATAATGTTAGCATATTTCCCCCAACTCTCTGGGTCCTCATTTTATCAACTTCAGAAGGATGGAAGGCTGAGTCAACCTTTGGCCCTGTCAGGTTCAAACTCAGGCTATGAGCAGAGTTATCCTGCGTCACTGCAGGCTAACCATTGTCCCCCTAGGGCTCCCAAGTACAGTGTGTAAAAAAGATAAAATCAAAGGCATGGATACGTAACAATGCCCTAGGATGAAGGAAATATTTCACCTATGATACCTCTAAAAGATTAGTAGAGTCTTATCAATTTCATCAGAGGCAAAGCACAATTTTTCAGAACCTTTCTATCATCTTCCATCCAAACTATTCTATCCTAATGGGCGGCCTAGATTAGTTAAATGGTTAGGGTTAGGGTCAGGGATGACTGATGTGCCAAATGACTTGCAATGTCTGCCCAAGACTACCCAGAACAATCCATGGAAAGAGTGATTCGTATGTGGTTTATTTTCCATGGAAGAAAAAAGGATGGTAGTTGCTTAAAACACAATTGATGGCCCAGTTGAACAAAAGAGTTTATATGGGATTATGTACATTAGACTCTCCTTCAATAATACTCAGTATTTTGGTAGTTTCATTTAATTCAACACACATAACAAAGTTTCTCTCTAAAAGCACAGCAAAACATCATTCTTCTGCCTCATCTCTTCAACCCAGTCTTGTAAACTAAAAGGTAGCTCAATTAAAAAACACACAAAAACTCTTACAAGCACTTCATTTGATCCTTTACCCAAAGGCTTTACTTAGTAATCAAAGCATGGATTCCTCTCTTGCTGCCATCGCTAAAAGAATGTGACAAAAACCTGAATATTTATGAGTAATATAAAGCTTCTCTTTTATCTTATGTCATGCATATCCCAAGTAGTTACCTTAGAGAAATAGCTTTTTTTCCCCCTTTTTAAAAAAATAATACCCAGCTTTTTCTCTCTCGGGACAACTCACTCTTCCTTAGTTTACTGACTAAATCTTACCTGAAGACAGAGTTTGAGGGTTTTTTTTTTTTTACTCATATAACACAAAAAATTCTGCAGCTTTTTCCTCACAAAGACCTGTATGCTCCTGGAGGTAAATCTGTTGCAGGCTGATATTGGTCAAGACCTGTCGCTTTCAATCTACCTAAAGTAATGAGCTGGGCCTTGC